ACCCTAGCTAACAACAAGCTCTGTTAACCGAATTTTCCCTTACCGAATATTTAATCGAAATAGGCTCTTCGACTAAACCTAACTAGCGGACAACCTAGAATAAGCTCTCTAGATTTAATACACTAGCAGCATTAATTACTAGGAAAATAGATTGATCTAAGCAATGGACGCAAAAGCTCGGACCATTTAACTTATGTTCACACTACCCTAGAGATGCACGACCCCTAGTTTACTACTAACGAAACGAGACAATAACAATTACGGATTAAAGTCCCGAATCTAGCAATTAAACTATAAACATTCAACGTAGCTGGCCAAACTAAATCAAATACACATAATTCATAAACATTAAACACAGATAGCATAAATCAACTCATCAACAAAAATAAATACGGCATCTCGATTAATCAACGATAAATATAAATCATTCAATTCATAGACAAATTCAAGTTAGGGTTCAAACATCCCCTAAAACTGGATAAAAATATTAGCCTAACATACTAAAAAAAAAAATACTAAATAAAAGATAAATGAGAGAAGATAAAAATATCTCCCTCGTATGCGATTGCGGCTTCCCTCCGCTCGTGTAGCCTTCTTTCTTCCAGTGACGCCTTCTCCGTGCTCTGTTTCTTTTCTTCTCGGATCGCCCCCTCGGCTTTTGCGTGTGTCCCGTCAAATAAAAAATCCTCTCAAATATATGAGTCCTTAGCCAAATAATGTCTGCGTGGCGTGTATTTTTGCTCCCAGCCAAATTACGTCCTCAACAAACAAAATTAAGAATTGTGTTTAAATTAAACACTTCTTTCTCACTTTCCATGTGCTGCTACTTTCTTTTTCCTTTTTTTTTTTTTTTTTTTTGTACTTGCTGCTAATAGAATTAACGGGATCTACTCGATCCGGCACCCGGGCACTCTGATAAATGCTACTTGAACTCTCGTCAACAGATTCGTCATCCACCTAATATACTGAAAATAAACATAAAAATATCAATGTATACGAATCTGTCCAAATAATAAATAAGTCGATAAATACAAACGTGCGATTAAATTAAGTATATAAAAATACACTATTAAATATATAAAACGTGCACATTTTTCGACCTATCAGTTAGATAAAGACTTTAGGCTAAACTTACTATCAATAACTAAGAAGTTGGGTTGGCTGGGTTGTACCTATAATAAGCTAAGTTGAAAAAGTCGCTCAGGTCAAATTAGTCTTCCCGTCACCATAGAAGATTCTCAGTAGATTCTTGGGAATCATCTTTCTCATATACTAATCTATCTATATATATATAATAAGAATTATCATTTACAAAAATAGTAGTAAAAAATTTTAGAAGCATTTAATGCATGCCTTTTTTTGGAAACATTTTAAATATATACATTAATTATTTCCATATACACGTTTTCAAATAAGATCAAATCAGATATGATCAAAAATATTGTTTCCTTAAATAATTTTATTAATATCTGCAATAATTTCATTGATATCTATTACAATAAATTACAAGATTGATTTTTCGTGATTCATGTTGATAATATTTTGGTTCAAAATAAATATTACAACATATTGTAAGTTCTAACCATAATATTAATTTTTTTTTTCACAAATATTCACTTTTTATCTAAAAATATTTATAGAAAGTATAGGTATAATTTTTTCTTCCAATTAATCAGGCAAAATCAAGTTGGTGAATTAGTCTTTGTCAATACAATTTTTTCTTAAGTTTTATTTCATTATATATGAAAAATAATTATTCTTCAAATTAATATAATTTACCATTTAAGAGGTAATGACCAGATACATTAAATAGTTGTACTAATGGTCAAAAATTAAAATCGAAATATATTAACTGTTCTAGAATTTATTTATATATTATTGACAACCATGATTGTTTATTTTTATTATTTTTTTATTTTGATTTCTTTCTATAATGAAACTAACTATTTTTTTTAGACTTAAACGAACAAAGCTTGTGAAAATAACTCATTTAATATCTTTATTCCGTGCATCGCACGGGGTACGTACTAGTTCATATAATAAGCACTGATTTTGAATTGTTTGATGATGATCACTAGGTGTGATTGGAAATAAAATTTTTGGTTTTGATTGAATTTATTGTATAAAGTTAGTTAATTTTAAAAATATTGACTTAGTGAGATTTTGAGTTTATATTCAAATAATATTTAAAATGTATGATTAAAATTGATGGGATGTAAATGTAGAAGATAAGTTATTGAAAATACTAATTAGTTAAAATTATGTGAATAAATATATGATGAATTAAATTGACGTACTGTATAAAAATAATTGATCGATATTATTTAATTATATTGACAATATTAAAGAGAGTTAATTTGAATTAAATTTAAGTTGAATTTTTAGTTAAAAATTTATAAAAAAAATCATTCGATCAGAAATAACTACTTATTTTTGTATCCCATTGCACCCTTATACACACAAAACACGTGTCTTAACATACAAGACAATGAGATTTTTCATGTTCAACTAATTATTATATCAGCATAAAGTGATGTCGTAATTAAACACGTATTATTAATCTAAAAATATAAAATTAAAAATTGTGTAAAAAAAATAAATCTGTTAAGTGGAAGGAGCAATTCGTAAACTCGTTAGACTCAGTTTAGAGAGATTTGATCTTGTTGTTTAGTCAACTAACTGAGCTTTAGAGTCGAGCTCATTAATATTTTTATCATGTATCAACTCGTCAAAATTGGAGCTCAGCTAGTAAGAATTAAAGCTCCTTAGAGTCGAGCTCTAGCTCGTTTGTCGACTTATTAATTTAACTCTACTCGAGCCTGAATTCGAATATCAAATGCTTGATCTTGACTTGACTCGTTTACAACCCTGCGCATGATACAAAAGGATATCTTAACTAATCGCATCATTAATTAGGCCAAAATGTAGGTAGAAAGCCATCCCCTTCTTTCGCTCCTATCCATCTTTCCCGTCGTCTTCTTCCCCGCATCCCTCATCTGTAAATCCTTCGTTGCCTTCCCGACAGGGCACGTCGAGTGCTCGGCGGTGGCTCTTCTGGGCCCCGCGGCTCGCCACCCAGAGTTGCGCCGCTAGAGGGGGCTTTTTCGCCGGGGAGAAGCTCGCGACGTTTTCCGGTGTTCAGCCTCTGGAGCCGGAAGCGTGTGGCGGGTTTTCGTTCTCCTCCGGTATCTCCGTTGCGGCGGCCTTCGGCGCTCTCTTGGAGCGAGATGCGACCCCAATTTCCCAATTTAGGGTTTGGGGTGGAGATTGGATTCTGGCCAAATTGGATTCTCCTGGCCCTGGTACAGAGTATTAGAGCCCTAGTGGTCAGCGATTAACGGTGGGTGCTGAACCTTGGCCTCGCAGTCGTCGGAAGGGTGGGTGTGGAGTTTTGGAATCGTGTTCGCCGGAGATCGATTGACTGGGCTTCTGTGCTCGTTGGAAGGGTTGGGCTTGGCCGGGCTGGGATGGGCCGGTTCGGGCAGGGCTGGGCTGTGCTGGGCAAGGTTGAGCTGGGCTGGGAAGGGCTGGACAGGGTTGGGTTGGTTGGCCAGGTGTCTTCGTCTCTGGGTGACAGTGGAGTTGTTCGTCTGGACGAGGCTTAGGTCCGTTGGTTTTCGACCCCGTTAGGCGTTTTCTTGCAGTTTCTGGGTTGGGATCCTGGACCGAGACTTTGCCATTGTTGGACTCGATGTGGTTTTCTGCTTGGGAAGGGCTCTCTTTTTATTTATTTTTTGTTGTAGTTTGTTGGTCTGTGTCTTTGTTATTGTGTTGTATTTACCTAGGCCCGTCTTTTGGCACTGATGGAGTTGAATGATTAACCTGGGTGGGCTCGATCGCTTATTGATTGCCATTCGGGGTGGCGGTCAAACAATTTCATTAGTGTTGCGGGAATGGGATTGTCGTGTTGTGTTGTTTTGTTGTTTAGCTTGTGGTAGTTTCTCCCGTAGGGGAGTGTGTTTCTTCCGTAGGGGAGCTTTTTCTCCCGTTGGGGAGTTCTTTCTCCCGTAGGGGAGCTCTTTCTCCAGTTGTGGAGTTTCATTGTGTTATTTTGTTAGTGGGTGCGTTCTAGGCGATCCTTTGGATCTGTCCTCCCACTAGATTCAGCTTTTGAGCTGTCTTTTCGGCTTTTGAGCTGTGTTTTGGAAAAAAAAAAAAAATTAGGCCAAAATGTCATTAATGAGGGATCTTAATCACGAGCATACAATGACTAGAGACTGTAGTAATAAAAAGAATATGCTGTGGTCCTGTGGAAAGGGAATTCTATTTTTGATTTTTTTCACACTTTATTTTTTTTCCCCAACGGCCACTTAATCACGCCAAGTATATGCTCTCCACATATTCTTATCTTCCTCCTCAATAAAGCCCACCAAAATTCTCACTCTTCAAAAATAACACACAGAATACGCATTCCTCACATTTTTTTTTCTCACTTAATATTTGATTTAGAGATTTAGGATTTGTGAGCTGATTTGTCTGTCAATAGGACAAAACAAAAGTAGTGTCGATTATGAAGTTCGGCAAGAGATTGAAGCAGCAAATCGAACAAAGCATGCCCGAGTGGCGAGACAAATTTTTGTCGTACAAGGAATTGAAGAAGCTCGTGAAACTGATTTCGTCGGCTCCGAAAATGGTGGTCGGGTCCGAAAGGGAATCTGAGTTTATGTGCTTGTTGAATTGTGAGATCGACAAGTTTAATGCCTTCTTTATGGAACAAGAAGAGGACTTTGTTATCCGGCATAAGGTAAATTAGTGTTATTGGATACAAGGTTTTTTCGTAAAAAATTGTTTCG